ACTCCAAGAGTTTTGCTGCTTATTTTACTTATAAGATTCTTCGTTCTTGATAACTTGTAGCTTGAAATTGTTTGTTTTGATTCGTAGTCAATCGTAAGCTTATATTTATGGTCTGGTAATCTTGAAAAATAATTTTGGTTGTGATTTTAGGCTTCTTTTAATGAGATCAGTACCCGGATAAAAATCAAAGATGTTGAGTACACACTCATTCTATTTACGTTTTGTTAACTATACTAGTATGATGGTTAGATAATGTAAGAATTGCATCTCTCTTGGCAGAATAAACGCTCACTATATGGTTGGTGATAGCATTCTTGAATTTCATACATTATATTTTTGTGAAGATTTTTTTAATAATATAAGTAAATTTTGCTTAAAACTTGTAATAGTTGATACTTTCGGTTTATTATCTTATTTGTTGATTTATTTTTGTACCACGAATTAATAGTAATCGTTTCTATATTCAAAGATATAATAATGACTTGCCACTAAATATTATAATATTAAATAAAAAATTATGTAGAAATAAGCAATCTTGATTTTAAAATTAGAAGATAATTAAAAAATTAATCTATAGTCGAAAATAGATTCGTTTAATTTTCTATACATTACCTACGATCTGGAATTTTGAAATCACTTTTGATTTTTTCAGCTTCCTTCAATTCACCCATTTGGAGTAATTGCAATGCAGTGTCATGTATTGACATACTGTAAAAACCTACTTGTCCATGTAAATTACCATATCTTAAGAAAGAAATAATTTTATTAAATTATATATAAAGTTTAATATACATTAGCTAAGCTCACTTTTTTGTCAAAACTTTTTGCAGTTTCATTATTTTGCCAGTCTCAGAACATAATTCAGCTTCAACATTTTTTCTAGCCTGCGTATAGCTATTCGTGATTGCTGGTAAATGGGATTCTAAGGTATCACTTTCCAAGGCATTAGCAAAATGATATTCTGCTATAGATTTTTGATCATCTTCCGAATTGTAAATTTCATAAAGTGCAATACGACTAGATTGGCTCATGATTTTTTTATAAATATTTAATGCCACAGGATATTCTCTGATAATCATCTAAAATTAAATATTTATAATTTTTAAAGTTAATGTAAAACCTAATTTGTTCTTACATGAAAATTGTCAAGCATTATTTTCTTTTTAATTTCTAATAAAACAGTAGTAATTAATTCTGTATCACTGGACTGTGTTGCGCTTTGTACTGCACGATCATATTTTCCCAATTTTAGTAGCAAAGGAACTTGCAGAGATGCACGAGGTTCCAACTCTAAAAGCTGATTATTTACATAAAAATTAATAATTTATTTAGAAGATATTATATATATTTAAGAATTCATTAAATGCACCTTTATAGCCAATTCATCGCGTTTAACAGCATGTGCTTTCTCGGCAATATTACAAAATGATATGCCTTCGATGGAGGGATTTTTAAACTTTTCAATAATTTTACGCGCCACCTCATTATCATCTAAAATAATTAGAGAAATTTTTATTTTGTTTAATAAGAAGAAATTATATGTATATAAATTTACTTTTATCGTTCATAACTTTATGATAAGCCCAGTGTTCTAGTATCCACGATTCAGGTAGTTTTAAGTGTTTCGCTACTTGTATAGCAACTGCATAATGTTTACGAAACACAAGTCTGCCTAAGATAACCTCGGGTTTCAAATGTAAAAATCTAAAAATAATATTAAATTTTACTTAAAATACTATATACTTATACAAATGATATAAATGATCCATATTATATAGAATTAACAAAAACAATTTTTATCTTATTAAATTCTTCAACTGATTGCAGATTAATCAAGTTTTTTTAAAAAATATTTTCATATAGCTTTTAGAGAATTCAAAAAAACGTATTCTATCTTTTACATTCATAAGTTTTTAAAACTATCTGTAAGAATAAATCTTCAGGTTTTGAACATATTATCATCACATCTAATATAGATGTAAAGATTTGTGAGAATCTAAAACTAAATTAATGTATATTTTATTCCATTTTATCTGATATTTACTCCATCGTTCCTAACACTATATCTAGCTCACTCCGGTGTCCATAGACTAATCTTTTCTTCTTGTTGACCTTCTCAAGCATTTGGAAAAACTTACTTTTGTATTTTGTTTATATGTACTAATTTACAATAATAATAATACTAACTATTATAAATTTACATTTTTCCTAACAGTTATAATAAATTATATAGAATTCTTAATAGTAAAGTAACTTACTGCTTAAAAGTAAGTGGCATTGCTATTTTCGGATGTCGCAATGCATTAAGCACACGCAATATGCGTAGTATTCGCATGTATTCTTCTGGATTATGTGAGGGAATAAATCCTTTACCAAAATAGGCAGACTAAAATAAATTATTTATTATTAATAAATAATAAATTATTTTACAAAACGTACTCTTAATAAACTCTTTTGCGTTTCTGTGCAGAATTCGTAAGCAGCAGCTTCAATACATTCATTAACTGCTACATCCATTTTGTCACGGAACAAACTTATATACTCATCGGATTGGTGAGATTTCTCTTGAAATTTCTTTTGTGCTTCAAAAAGAAAACTTGATGGTTCTTGACTATTAATAGCAAATATATTCTGCACACATTTTGGCAATTGTTGTATCATTTCATGTGCACTATTGGTTAGTATACGTACACCATCCATTTCAGGTATTAAAAATATTGCTGGATCATAAGTGAAGAGATTCTTATCACCATTGCGATTGACCACAAGCAAAAAAGAGGAATATGAAATCGCTACAGCATCAGCAGCATTACTTTCAGTATTCATAATCCATTCGATTTGTCGTGGTATATCCTTACGTCCAGTATCAAATTCACAAAATTTCTTTTTCATATCCACAGAACCTAACCACAACAGTCCAGTATTGGTATATAAAGCCAAATTTTGATTGTCATATGATGTGGACATTAGTAATAAACGATCGAATGGTTTATCGAAAAGATTACGTGCAATAGTTCCAACTGCTTCACCCGGAAATAGACGTATAACTTCGTTATCGCGCCCTAACAAACAGTAACTATTACGATCTTCAGTCACAATTGCCCAACAAGTGCAATCGGATGGAGATTCTATATAATATAAGTAGAGGATTTAAATTTACAATTTATGGCTTAAAATACTCTAAAACGTACTGGGAATTTCAGGCAATTGTCTTGTGCGAAAATCTTTAGTATTACTTAATTTTACAAAAATGCGACCACTAGTTGTCATTACTGCAATACCAGTACCAGACGAGGATTGGAATATTTTCGCATCCACTATCTGAAATTAATTGTTTTTTTTCTTATTAAAGTGCATAATTTTGTTGTATTCAGTTTACCTTTGTTATGCTAGCTTCTTGACCCATGCTATATGACTCCTTTTCTCTACCAAACATATCGTATATAAAAACAAGTGCATCATCTTGCACGCATATTAATTCCTCAGTGTCAGACCAACCCATTGTTATTAGTTTGCCGTGGTTCCACTAAAAAAATTTTTTTTTGTTGGATTTTAATTTATAATTAAATTGCATTTTGTAATTTTGATTCAATCAATTTTTACATAAATAAAAATAAATTATGCCTTACCGATATATTGCCCAGCTCTTCTCCAGCTGTATTAAATAGACGTATAATTGGTTTTGCACTGCCTTTAACTGGTACAATTTGTGTTGGATCTCTTATAGCTGCTATTGGGCCACCAAATGGTGCACCAAATACTTGCATGTAATCCAATTCCATACCCCATGGCCAGTCGGGAGTGTGCAAATCCAATTTTCTGAAAGATTATGGGCGTATGTAAACAGCATTTCATAAGTATATTTAAATGTCTAAATTTTTACCTATATGTATCTGGTCTTAATACGAACCAGTCGCCTGTATTATACATAACCGGCATTTTATGAAAAATATAACTTAAATTATTTAATAAAAGTCTTGTTTACAAAATAACAAAGCAAAATACTGTTTCAATTGCCAGCCAGAAGTTTGGATATTCACAATGTAATGACAATATGTTTCGCCATGAAATCAATGACGCACAGTTGAACTTATTAATGTTTATTGAAGGGTTTCATAAACTTTAATTAACCTAAGTTGATGCTCCCATGCTAAACCGTATGGAAGATTTTTTGGGATTTTTTGCTCTGCACACATTTAGCCATTTATCAACACGTATCGACACATCACTACATTATCGGCACAACTTAGAATTTCCCTCATTTAAAACGCAACTTAGCCTAACTCGCATACGTCCTTAATAATACATCATTTAATAAAATTTAATATATAATTAATATATTAAATCATTTATATACATTTTATATGTCAATTACATAGTTAATTATTAAAAACAAAGATATTATTAAATACTTACTACCTTAGTGTCTTTGTTTACAGTCACCTGTTGTTTGGTTATATTTTACATATGAAATATATGACATGTCAACTTTTGGTAATTGCCCTTGTAGGAAATTTATTTTTAAAGGTTATATTCCACAATTTTCGCCTTAAATGAGTTGATTTATTAATAATGAACTAATTTATATAAAAGATTTTTGTATGGTAAATCATTCTCATTGTGCTATTGTGAATGTGCTATAAGTGAAAAACACTTTAAATTCTTTTATTTATTGTTAACAAGTTAATACTTAATCAGGCTTGAATAATCTAAACTATTATTAATTTGGTTATGACAATATATTTCAAAATTCCCTGCATACTTAACATTGCTTTTAATTCATTATTCATTTTAATTTTCAATTTTATATTAATTATTTTTTTTTATACAAAATATAGTTTGCAGGCATTATGTGTATATATGCAAGTTCTACTTTTTGCGAAGATATGACTTTTGACAGATGGCAACAGTGATGCCAATTTGTCAATTAGTGACTTCAAGCGTTCTATCCTGATACATCCTGATACATTAATATAGAATCTTTATAATAAATATTTTTTATATAAAAAGTTATTATTAATAATGAACAGCAAAAGAATTATAATCTATATGACACCCTGTAAAATTTGCCGCCTATCAGCTGTTTTTTGTTACTTGTTTATTCTGTTTTGCTATGCCAAAAAAAAAACAATTTCGTTAGCCAGTTCTTTTTATCTTCGTCGACTACACACGTGCAGTTCTGTGTTTGTTAGTATTTGACTAATTGCTTAAAACAATTAGAAAGTATTTGAAAAATGTCTGCAAACGAAGTCGTAACGGAGGGAGTTGAAGCTCTAACGCTGACTAATGGCAAAGATGGAGCTGGGGACGATATGGTAGCTACTGGAGTTGAAGTTGTGGTGCAAGATGATGACATAGTTAATCCATGGAGTGTAACCAGTTCGACTGATGCTGGTGTCGATTATGATAAACTTATAAGTAATTATTTTTTAATGCAAATTTGCAAATATTACTAATATTTTTTTTTTTTTTTGCATGTATAGAGCGATTTGGGTCTAGCAAAATCGACGAAGAATTGATTGCACGTTTCGAAAAGATAACAGGCAAGCCAGCACATCATTTTATCAAGCGTGGCATTTTTTTTTCGCATAGAGATTTGCACACAATTCTAACACTTAAAGAACAGGGCAAACCTTTTTATATGTATACGGGACGAGGACCAAGTTCTGAATCACTACATTTAGGTCATTTGATACCATTTATTATGAGCAAGTAAGTTAAGTTAGTTTGAAAATTATGAAATTGATATATATGGGTTCTCTTTATATCTACCATTCATAGATGGTTGCAAGAAACATTCGATGTTCCTTTAGTTATTCAATTAACTGATGACGAAAAGACTTTGTGGAAAGATCTGAAAGTGGAGGCCGCTATAAAATTATCGCGCGAAAACGCTAAAGATATTATTGCTATGGGTTTTGATCTTGATAAAACCTTTATATTCAATAATTTAAATTTCATGGGGTGAGTTATCTTAATATTTAATAATTACTTTAATTTTTTGTGAGTATTTTATGTATAATAAGTTTCTGAACAATGCCTCTTCTACAATTATTATTAATATTGTGAAGTATGTAATCATATACTGACCACACACACCAAACTCATATAAGAATTGTCGGGTTTACGTCCCGGAACCACTCGTTCGACGATTGCGTCGTTCAGGACACCCAAACGAACAGATCCTTGCAGGCTACAAGAACAATAACATCAGAATTGTTGTATTTTGTAAAATACTTTACAATATAAGTAGGATTAAGTTCTGTTATGAAGAGGGAGTATATATAGCATGTATATTCAGGAA